TTTGGCGACGGATTCAGGTGTGGTTAGAAACAATGGTTGGACAAAGATGAGAATTTAAACCAGAATTATTTTTATTAGGAATTATAACAGAGGGCAACAGTAAAGGGTCAACATGTTTAATACTACACGTTATAACAGCAGTGAGAATGGTGTATGCCCAACAGTGGAAAAGCAAAAATATACCTTTAGAAAGAGAGATAATAAAGAAAGTATTGGATTGCGCAGAAATGGTTAGATTGACGTTAGATTGAAAGAATAAAGGAGAGACTGAATATCCTGATATATGGAATAGTTTTTACCAGTGGTTGGAACTGAGAGGTGGGAGTTGGAACAGGAAATAAACAGGATTTGTAGACCCGAAATGTGTTCTAATATTTGTAAATATAAATGATTATATTGGGCAGAATAATTGTATATAATTAGTCAGATATGATGAGTATATATGATATTTGTTCTATATTTTAGTGTGTATGGTGGAGATAATGCCAGGATGGTTGCACTGTGTCCGATATTTTAATATGAAATGAATAAAAAAATTAAAGATAAAAAAAGAACGATCCCATTGGCGAGAGCTGACATTTTGTTAACCCTCTGGTGCGTTTTAGGGAAGGCAGACTCCTCTGCACGGCCTGCACTCAGAAGACAAGCCAGGGTGGATTATAGCCTTGAGGCGACTCCCGAAGATCCTTGGGTGAGAATTTCCGACTGCATCAAAAGCTTGTTTAACCCCAGCATGGCCGAAGAAAGGTGTAGCTTAAACATGTCGCATGGCGTCGAAAGCAAAGACGGTGAGGCAACCTTGCATTGCTCGGACGTGGCCCTGCAGCCCTCAGACACCGAGGAGAGCGATCCCAAGGCCTCTTCCACCTCAGAAGAAGGTGACTGTGTGAAGAAGGGGCCACCTGTAGCGCCCAAACCAGCTTGGTTCCGTCAAAGCCTCAAGGGACTAAAGAAAGGAAATTCAGATGTGAAACCTCTCAGAAACAGCATCAGTGAGCATCAAAGCATGTCGGACAATGAGGCAGGCTCCATGACCAAGATCACCCGGGCATCTCCTCGAGGATCGTCAATCAAGCAGAGAATTAGCTCTTTTGAAAATCTGGGCACCCCTCAGTCTCCTGAAAAGGGGACGAGGAAGCTGAGTCCGAAGCCCTCCGTTCGAAAAGAAGAAGCTTCCAGCAGGCGGGATTCCCAAATGGCCAAGTTTGATCCTCAGGAAGCCTCCACCAGCAACATCGACCACCGAGGTTCTGAGGAGAGCAGCCATCGGCCGTCACCTCAAGGAGAAGATCAGATCGGCTCCTCTTCTTCCTCCAGTGTGGAGCATTGTGCTTCGATTTCAAAGACGAGCAGCAGCCCCCGTCTTGACTCATCTTTGAATCTTCCAGCCTCACAAAATACGGAACTTGACCCACCAGTCACAAAAGCACCGAGTCAACGAGCACGGAGCTTTCCGCTCACTTCATCTCAGACATGTGAAGTGTTGAAAAACAAAGCCGAGGGAGAAAAATGCAGCAAAATCTACTCCATTAGCAATCACTTCTCGTCAGCTTTGATGAAATCCTTAGATGGCTTTCCTTCTCGGTCTCCTCGGTGTCCTAGAAAGAGCCCCGGAACCTCCAACGGAGGGATTTCTGAGTCTTGCCCAGAAGAAGACAAGGTTGCTGTCCCTCAAGGAAGAGAAGTTCAGTCTCTGGACACTGGCTATTCTCTTAAGTAAGGTCTTTAAAGTTTGTAACTTTAAAGTGTGTGTTTTTTTCAGTGCCTCAGTGGCTAAGATGTTGAGCTTGTTGATCAGAAAGGTCGGCAGTTTGGTGGCTTGAATCCCTAGCGCCATGTAATAGAGTG